TAGGTTCAGCAACAGTATGTGCTCAAATAATGAGGTCAGCTGACTACCTGAATATACTGAATGACCAGTTATTCCATCAATGGGCTTTTTCTTCCCTAATGGCACAGGCAGGCTCCAAGATGACAATGCCAGGATTCATCGGGCTCAATGGTGAAAGACTGGTTCAGGGAGCATGACTCATCATTTTCACACATGGATTGGCCGCCACAGAGTCCAGACCTCAACCCCATTGAGTATCTTTGGGATGTGCTAGAGAGGGCTTTGCTCAGCGGTCAGACTCTACCATCATCGATGCAAGATCTTGGTGAAAAGTTAATGCAACACTGGATGGAAATAAATCTTTTGACATTGCAGAAGCTTATCGAAACAATGCCACAGTGAATGCGTGCCGTAATCAAAGCCAAAGGCGGTCCAATGTCCCGAGTTCCTCGTTTTTCCGCCACTTTGGTTCAAATTTGCATTTTTCCCATTCTCTAGCTTTTTCTCCACCTCAAGCTTCTTTTCCGAAGCCATTTTAATGCCACAATTATTAAATTTAATGAATTTTAATGCCAATTAAGGCCTTAATTTAAAAAAAACTAATAATTTAATGACTTTTAATGAATAAATCCAAAATCTTTCCTATAGGTAATAGGAAAGATTTTGGGAAAGAAATTTCAAATGGTGATAAATGCTATTCCCGGTGGTATTCTCCAATTACTTAAAGGTCATTTTGAAAGGCAAGAGGCAGAGAAAGTGGACCTCACCCTCTATATTAATGGTGTAAACTTTATAAGTCATCAGTGTAACAATAAACATATAAGGAACTATGTTTGTTAGGAAAAGGGAAATTACTCCTAGAAGGAAATTTGTATGTTCCTCCTGTTTCTCTGATATTAACTGGAAAATAACATGGCTCCTTCCACACAACTTTGCTATTTCTAACAAAATAAAAGAAATACATATTACAACATACTTTTTGAATGTAAATTTTCACAGATATTCTGGAAATAACTTGATTATTCTAATTCCAAAATTTCACAAACACAAAACCACATTTTCCAAAGGTCAACATTTCTTCCCTGTGTTTGAAATTGATTTAAAAAATTCCTTTGATTGTATCCAAAGAATCAACAATAAAAAATTTATACACACTGTAACGTAATTCGGGAAATATTTGGAGAGACATGTAATCGGTCTGCGCCAGGTGACGTCAATGTTTACCTCGGGCGCGGTGCATCGTGGGAAAACCACCATATTAGGTGGAAAGTCGAGATAACCCACACGCGGCTGTTCTTTCGGCATAATTATTTACCAGAAATGACACGATCGTGTTGTGTGAGAGGCTGCCAGTCCCGGTGTCGTGCCAAGGTAGTTATCCCTGCGAAAATTTGTATCCCCTCGTCGGGAGCGCGCACGGAGTAGGAAGAACAGCCCGAGTTAACTCCGCTTCAATTCCAACGTGCAGAACTTAAAATTTGAAAGGTTTTACGTGTATGAAAGTTGAGCTTTACTGTTTTATTTTTTACTTCACGTGTTTTAGCAGAATATCGCCAGTGATATTGATCTAAAACTAATAATAAAACACAAACGTTTGCTTGAAAGCTGGTCGCTGACAGCAGTGTCTACTCCTCCCTCTGAAAGCAAACAGATCCTTGTTCTTTTCCACACGTTCATTAAAAAAATCTTTCATTGTTTCACAGTGTCCAAATGTTCTCATCTCATTGAAAACTGTTGTAAACCATATACTTGTAATAAAAATGAAATAGAGAATGGAGTGCATGTGTAATCATTAAAGACTATATGCAGAAGGAAAATAATTTTTTCCTGGTTGAAATTTAGTACTTAAATCTATATCTGTGTTTATATAAACGTACAATGTATCTATGTTGTACTATCCTTTATAAACAGTTTGTCTTCTAACATCAGCTGTTTTATTTCATCCCATCTTGCCAGAACTGGCAGGATGGGATGAAATAAAACCTGCGGTAATCTGTTCCCCCTGTCTAAATCAGACAAAAAAGGTCCCAGTTTTTTCCATTTTTGGCTTATAAGCATCTTTTATGATGACAACTAACCCCTGAAACTTTGGAGTTGATTGACCTTTATTTCTTAAAGTTACAAGGGGGGAACAAATTATAGCAGGCCACCTGCCATAATCTGTTCCGCCTGTCTAAATCAGTCAAAAAAGGCCCCAGCTTTTCCATTTTTGGCTCATAAACATCTTTTATGATGACAACTAACCCCTGAAACTTTGGATGTGATTGACCTTTATTTCTAAAAGTTATAAGGGGGGAACAAATTATAGCAGGCCACCTGCTATAATCTGTTCCCCCTGTCTAAATCAGGCAAAAAAGGTCACAGCTTTTTCATTTTTGGCTTATAAACATCTTTTATGATGACAACTAACCCCTGAAACTTTGGAGTTGATTGACCTTTATTTCTTAAAGTTACAAGGAGGGAACAAATTATAGCAGGCCACCTGCTGTAATCTGTTCCCCCTGTCTAAATCAGGAAAAAAAGGTCCCAGCTTTTTCATTTTTGGCTTATAAACATCTTTTATGATGACAACTAACCCCTGAAACTTTAGAGTTGATTGACCTTTATTTCTTAAAGTTACAAGGGGGGAACAAATTATAGCAGGCCACCTGCCGTAATCTGTTCCCCCTGTCTAAATCAGTCAAAAAAGGCCCCAGCTTTTCCATTTTTGGCTTATAAACATCTTTTATGATGACAACTAACCCCTGAAACTTTGGAGTTGATTGACCTTTATTTCTTAAAGTTACAAGGAGGGAACAAATTATAGCAGGCCACCTGCTGTAATCTGTTCCCCCTGTCTAAATCAGGAAAAAAAGGTCCCAGCTTTTTCATTTTTGGCTTATAAACATCTTTTATGATGACAACTAACCTCTGAAACTTTGGAGTTGATTGACCTTTATTTCTTAAAGTTACAAGGAGGGAACAAATTATAGCAGGCCACCTGCTATAATCTGTTCCCCCTGTCTAAATCAGGAAAAAAAGGCCCCAGCTTTTTCATTTTTGGCTTATAAACATCTTTTATGATGACAACTAACCTCTGAAACTTTGGAGTTGATTGACCTTTATTTCTTAAAGTTACAAGGAGGGAACAAATTATAGCAGGCCACCTGCTATAATCTGTTCCCCCTGTCTAAATCAGGAAAAAAAGGCCCCAGCTTTTTCATTTTTGGCTTATAAACATCTTTTATGATGACAACTAACCCCTGAAACTTTAGAGTTGATTGACCTTTATTTCTTAAAGTTACAAGGGGGGAACAAATTATAGCAGGCCACCTGCCGTAATCTGTTCCCCCTGTCTAAATCAGTCAAAAAAGGCCCCAGCTTTTCCATTTTTGGCTTATAAACATCTTTTATGATGACAACTAACCTCTGAAACTTTGGAGTTGATTGACCTTTATTTCTAAAAGTTATAAGGGGGGAACAAATTATAGCAGGCCACCTGCTATAATCAGTTCCCCCTGTCTAAATCAGGCAAAAAAGGTCCCAGCTTTTTCATTTTTGGCTTATGTACATCTGTTATGATGACAACTAACTCCTGAAACTTTTGATGTGATGGACCTTTATTTCTAAAAGTTATAAGGGGGGAACAAATTATAGCAGACCACCTGCTATCTGTTCTCCCTGTCTAAATCAGGCCAAAAAGGCCCCAGCTTTTTCATTTTTGGCTTATAAACATCTGTTATGATGACAACTAACTCCTGAAACTTTGGATGTGATTGACCTTTATTTCTTAAAGTTATAAGGGGGGAATAAGCATTTTGGCTTATAAGCATCTTTTATGATGCTTATAAGCCAAAAATGAAAAAGCTGGGACCTTTTTTGCCTGATTTAGACAGGGGGAACAGATTACAGCAGGTTTTATTTCATCCCATATTGCCAATTGTGGCAAAATGGGATGAAATAAAATGGCTGATGTTAGAAGACAAACTGCTTATTAAGGATAGTACAACATAGATAAATTGTACGTTACTATAAACACAGATATAGATTTAAGTACTAAATTTCAACCAGGAAAAAAAATATTTTCCTTCTGCATAGTCTTTAATGATTACACGTGCAGTCCATTTTCTATTTCATTTTTATTACAAGTATATGGTTTACAACAGTTTTCAATGAGATGAGAATATTTGGACACTGTGAAACAATGAGAGATTTTTTTAAGGAACGTGTGGAAAAGAACAAGGATCTGTTTGCTTTCAGAGGGAGTAGACACTGCTGTCAGCGACCAGCTTTCAAGCAAACGTTTGTGATTTATTTTTAGTTTTAGATCAATATCACTGGCGATATTCTGCTAAAACGTGAAGTAAAAGAATAAAACAGTAAAGCTCAACTTTCATACACGTAAAACCTTTCAAATTTCAAGTTCTGCACGTTGGAATTGAAGCGGAGTTAACTCGGGCTGTTCTTCCTACTCCGTGCGCGCTCCCGACGAGGGGATACAAATTTTCGCAGGGATAACTACCTTGGCACGACACCGTACGGTTATTTCGCATTATGCTTACTTTTTTCCATATAGTCAGAGAAACAAACTCAATCCTTTAGTCCTTCGTTTAGCTATACTGCAGTTGTTTACACTACACCTTTTCCACCAAAAATGGCGTCTTAGCAACAAATGTCACGTGACTGACGGAGACCGATATATCTTTTTTCCCCCTTTTTTTTTTTGTTTAAATCTCTTCTGTTATTAATTTAAGTTAAAGTATGTCATATCTTAATTCCCAGCTGGAACTGTCATCGAACACTTATTTTGGAGATACCGTCCTATATCTTGTGATATTTTTTGTCAATGTTTTGTAATTTGCAACTTTTCAAAAAAGTTTTAGATTGGAAAAAAAAACGTATCTATTACTTCCAGAAAAGTCTTCGGTATTTACTATATGATCTAGTTTAGGATTCTGTAATGTTTTAAATATATAAATAAGTATTCATAGTATCGTTATTAAATAGTTTTCGGCGACCCGGATCTTAATATTCTGTTTGCGCATGCGCAGGACGGGTCCTGCTTCTGGTGACAACCAGGAAGTGAAACAGCAGCAGAAAAACATGGCTTCCAGGTTACTGCTTCGCAGCGCGTTCAGAGCCGCAACCAGCCGGCCGGTTGCCCGGACTCCCGCTGCTGTCCGAGGGATGGCTGCTGGGGGTAAACATCCTCTTCTGTCTCTAAAAGCCACTGAAGTCAGCGAGCATCGGTGTTTCTGACCGATTCCCGCCGCTTCTTCCGTTCAGATGGGCTCATCTAGAACAAGCGGAAGTCTTCCTGCTTTGGGGTCTATAGTGTTAGATATATATATATATATATATATGTATATATTCAATATTATACACTAAAATCTATGAAGTTGTATGAGTTTCTCATCAGTTTTGAAGCATTTTTAGGTGGTAAAGTAGTTATTACCGTTTAATTTTTCAGCTGTTTACAAGCTACAGAACTCCTGATTTTTATTATGAAAATGAAACAGAGAAGAGTTAATGTAGAAAGAAGCTGTGCTCTCATTGTAAGATTTGTTGATGTGGATGTGACTGAGGTTTTAATAGAGATTTTCCATCAGGTATTCCCACTGATGAGGAGCAGGCCACCGGGCTGGAGAAGATCATCATGAAGGCCATGAAGGAGGGAGCCGTAAGTGTCGCCTCATCAGTTTGAAACCTGATGCATCAGCCACTGCTGCAGAACCCCAGTCATGGAGATGAATTATTAAATATTCTGCATGTGTAGGAACAGGTGCATTGAGGGGCATCTGCACTACAGTAGGGTTTATCACAGCAAATCTAGAAAATATTCAGCCTACTCAACTTTCTGAGGCTGGAATTGCTGCTAAAGGTGGATTCAATTCAAAAATAATTTATTAATCTCCCCAAAAAATCTAAAGAAAAATCTGGTCAGCAGCGAATAATCAACTAATACGTTCACAGTGATTTAATGAATTTAGCGTTAATCAGTAAAATAATGAAAACAATCATTTTCGTCTTGATCGCTGAGTCTGAGAGCTGCCATTTTGGCCCAATAATAGTAACTCCTGACATCTTCTGGCTTTGACGTTACCAATTACTATTAATTAAAAACACTTATCATTTATTGAACAGTATGTAATAATTTAATATTTAAAGTACTTTCAGAAGTTTGAATTCTAAATATGACGGGACTTTTCCTTTAAGTGTGCAGGTTATTTTTATACCAGTGTTGTAGGTGTTGATAGCTGTAGGCAGGAAGGCTCCTCTGTAGAGGTCTGCTTGCACGGGATCTGGAGAAGCCTCTGACTGCAGACACTGTTGTTGTTTAAAAATCTTCTGAGACGAATGCTCACTGTCTTCGAAATTTTATGTACTGTATGAAGAATTGTTCCTTGTGAAATCATCTCCAGAGGTTCCAGAGGAGTTCCTTTAAGTTAGCTTGTTGAGCTTTTTTAACTAATTAGCTGTGATCCAGCAGAGGATGGAAGAACAGATCAGATTCTCCACATCAGACTGATAGAAGATCTGTAGCATCTTGCTGCAAACGCTGAAGGACCTAAGCTTCCTTAGGGAGTGCAGTCTGCTCTGTCCCTTTACTTGCATCAATATGATTTTCTTCAGTTTCTATTTGGAATAAATCTGTAACTCTATAAAGAAACTTTTCATTTGCGGGTAATATGTGTAGAATTTAGAGAAAGAGGTTACATTTAATAGCTTTTCTTATAACGCCGTATAAAAATTACATGTGAAAAGGTTTCAGGCTGTGAATACTAGTGATGGATTAATGAAGCCAAACCCGATTGATGCTGCATTGATACTGTCTCACACAATACTGACACCTGCTGGACATTTAAAGACACTACAGGCAGCTTATTGGACAGACTAAACTGAATTTATTTGATGACACACAATATCATTTAAGTTTTTGTAGGTTATATCATATTATATCTATGTTATATTGTATTCATATCTATGTTTAAATTGAAAAAGTCTTTGCTATTTTTAGATGCAGCCAATAAATAATGTAAACATATATCATAACATGAAAATTTAGGGGAAAATGTGAATGAGGATGCTTAGGGACTAGGATTTTAAATCATATTTTTAAAACAATAAGTTCAGTAAAAACAGTAAATAAACTAAAAGTCAATTTGAAATTAATTTTAAATCAGATAGTTGATTGATAACTGAGAGGAAAAGGATGACACAACGAGAAAATAAAAACCCAACAGCTGAAACGTTCCTATTCCTTTTAGGCTCCTAAATTCTTGATCATTTTAATGATAAAGCAGATTTAGCAGATGCATCATGTTGAAACGACACACACACAGATACATTGTTTTGCTCTATGGAATCCATGCATGCACCGATGAGAATACTATCTGGATTTAATATGATTTATAAAATATTATTAAAAACAGTCCTTACACTTGTCACCCAATCAGCAGGCTTGTCTTCCTTCTCTGCCTCCTCTTGCAGGATCCTTACAATATGATGAAGCCAAAGACGTATGCTGGCTCCAAGGCCGACCCCCACCTGGTTCCATCCATCACTGACAAGAGGATCGTGGGCTGTGTCTGTAGGTTTTCCTTTTCCTGTTCTAACAGGTTTGGAGATGTACAGCTCCAGTAACTCATAGACTTACTTCTATAAGAGACAGAGATTTAGGAAGACAGAAACCAGTGGAACAATTATCATGCAGCTGGAGGAAGATGCATGATAATTGTAGTATTTTCTTCAGTATATAGATCGATTGTTTTTATTCAGGCAAGGGTTTACATTGGGCAATATTAGGCCCGTTGCCTAGGGCCCCATAAATGTCTGTTTAAAAATCCTTTGGCTAAAATGCCATCAGAATATGGAGGACCAACTCTGCCATATTTGAAAATAAATACAGAAATAAATAAATGCTCAATAAATAAATAAGCGTACAATTAACTGCCCCCAAAAATACAATGAACAAATAAATGTAAGTAGAAATTAAATTATACAGTGAGACATTAATGTATATAACTCTTTTAATGAGCTTCTTTATTTTTTTGCCTTTGTAATATTTACCTTATTTATATTTTTGTCCTTTATAATCTTAAACTTTATATTTTAATTACTTATATTTTTAAGTATTTATTTATGTGCATGTTATAATATTTTTGTCTGTTTTATTTTTCCTCTGTATTTTATTTTTACCCTAGTTATTTCTTCGCCGCTAATATTAAGTGTGTCTCACTTAATAACCCCCCTTCAGTGTCCACCATATTGGATCAGTCCATTTGCTGCACATGTTCATAAAGGTCCAAACAGACAGCAGCAAACCATTTGAAACTGACGGAGCGAATAGCAGTGTTGCCAACTTAGCGCTTTAGTCGCTATATTTAGCCACTTTTCAGACCCCTCTAGCACTTTGATTTCTAAAAAGCTCCTAGCGCCAAATCTAGAGACTTTTTTCTGCTTCTGGAGACTTTGGAGACAACATCTAAAAGCAGCGAACTCTGCTCTCCAGAGCAAGTAGATTGGTAACCCCGCCTCCTGCTCTCCTCTATCTTGTCTGCTGTCATGATTCATGCAGCTATTATTTCATCCAAATGAAAAATGGAGAACAGATAAGCAGGTCATGGCTTGTCTACAGTGAAAAGAAGGACTGGGTTATTTACTTTGGCCTTTTTGGAAACACAGGAAGGAGCAATCAGCTAAGTGAGCTTAGTGCTTGGAAAAAATCTTTAATTCCTTTAGAGACAGCATGAAAAGTCAGCTGAGTACAAAACATAGAGAGGAAAACAAGAAGAAAAGGGACAAGAAGAGAGGGACACAACCTAGAACAGATAATGGATGTCTATTCTATTAACATTTCTCTATCTGTAGAATGGGGCTGTTCTATGTGTTGTCTTCTCCATTCAGAGGGCCCCCTGCGTTTCTCTTCACCCAGTATATTAAACTATAAAAAAAATAAATAGATAAAATGAGATTATTTGAAAACAAAGAAATATAAAAATGTGTTTATATTTGGCAGAAACGCACCTCACTGTGGGAAGCCATTGAAGAGAGTCACAAAATGACCTTTGACCTTCTCTTTGTAGGTGAAGAAGACAACACAGCAGTGGTCTGGTTTTGGCTTCATGAAGGTGAGGTCCATCGCTGTCCATCCTGTGGCTCCCACTACAAGCTGGTGCCTCATGAGCTCCCCCACTAACCTGCAGCCTGGTGCTGATGGGGCTTCGTCCTCGTGGCTGCTGCACACTCCTGCACCATTCAGCTCATCTTACTGCAGCAGTCCTTCCTCTTCAAGAACATTGGGGCTGTCATCCCCACCCTGTGGAGCGCGTGATGGGCTCTGTGTACAGCCTGCTATGATGACAGTTGTTTTATTTTACTATTTGACCTCACCAGTCTTTGCTTTACATGTTCCATTTACATTTATTCCAATGTGCTTGGAATATCAGCCAGTTTACTTCTATATATGTGTTTTACGCTGTCATAATGGGTCCACTTATCTGTTGTTACTTGTTAATGTTAACCAATAAACATTAAGAGCTAATTATCAATGCACATTTCAGCCTGTTTCTTTCAAGTTTTTTTCAGAAGTTAGAATTTTGAATATGACCAGACTTTTCCTTTAACACTAGAAATCCCACAGATATGAGAATTTTCATCAGATTCCCGCCCCCCCAACAGTCCTTCACAACCCATGAATCCCTTTTTAGATGTAAATGCCCCATGAGGCTGGAGAACCATTCCACCCCCTTCAATTTCGGTTTCAGCTAAAGTTTCGCTCTCTGAGAGTGTTTTACCTGAGAGCAGGGGGGGAATCATATTTGTAATTAAATATAACTAGGTCTACGTCATCAGTGTCGCCAACATCAGGATGATTTCAGCGCAGCCACCAGAGCAGCGATCAGACGATAACTGATCTGTACAATGAAAATAGCTGCATGAGCTGGGAAGCTGTGGATCAGGAAAGCAAGAATATTTATGCAATAATGAGTATCTGGCTTATTTATTAGGGGGCAAATGTACCTCAAGCAATCTCTCCTCTCTCTCGCTGCAGAGAGAGACTGCAGACTGTTGGCAATATATTCACAGATTGGGCTTTTCCAGATTAAGTCGTCTGCGGATGATTTATTCTACAAAACAGACACCTCTCCCCAACCACAGCGAGGAAGACAGTGAGCTACAACTGTAGTTTCCTCAAAGCGAGGTCTCCTATCGCGCTGGGAGAATTACATTGGACCCTATGCAGCGCTCACTCTTCCGCAAGTTGTAAAATAATCAGAGAGAAATATTCAAAAGCGTCACCAAGGAGAGGTGGATTATTATCATGTTAGGTTTATTCTTTATACATCATGTGCATTGTTACTTTATTAGCCAGATTAGAGAGAGCGGATGGCCTTCCTTCACATTGTGGATGTCACTGTGTGTACGGAGGTCATCTAATCAGGACAGGGTTCGTGTCTTTAAAAATACACAGGATATTGGCACATCTAGTAGCCGGTCTGATAGAGGAGAGCTATCTGTAATCCTGAAGCATAGAAGCAAGCTGCATGGAGTTCAAGACATGGATGGCGTGTCAGTTTCTGATACGGACAGCAAAGCATCCACCTGATCCAACACATAGACTCATAAGGTATAAGAAGGAGAAGATGACCTTGTTCAGGGCTCAATCTTTGCCGGACACTCGCGGACGTGATTTTTGAGCCCACAGCTGTGCCAGCTCCAAGCTTTTTCTCTGTCCTATAACGACCTGATCTGGAATAAACTCTGTTACTTTTTTAATCACAAGCCGCCTTCGCAGCTTCCTGTGTTTGTTGGATATGAACATGCTGACCATCAGAGACTGCACAGTCCACGAGGCCCGCAGAACAAACCCCAGCTGGCAGATGAGTGTCTACGAGCTGATGGCTTTCCTCGCAATCCTTTTTCGAAGGGCTGCCATGGGTTACATTGGTCCCATGCGACACATGTGGGCCAATAAATTCGGAAACGCAGATATCAAACCCATAATGCCTCGTAACCGTTTTTTTGAAATAAGACGGTACCTTCGTTTTGACAACAAGGACACCCGCAAGGAACGCATACACAATGACAAATTTGCAGCAATTTCTGACATCTGGATGCGGTTTGTTCAGAACTGTGTGTCGTCCTACAGTCCAGGACAGCATGTTACTGTGGATGAGCAGCTGTTTCCGTCCAAGGTTCGGTGTCCCTTTTTGCAGTACATTGCATCCAAGCCTGACAAGTTTGGAATCAAGTTTTGGATTGCAGCAGATCTGGACACAAAATACATGTGTAATGCCATCCCTTACTGGGGAAAGGATCCCACTCGTCCAAAAGGAGAGAGGTTGTCAGAGAACGTTGTTCTGAAATTGATGGAACCACTTTTGGACAAGGGAAGGACTGTAGCAATGGACAATTTCTTCACCTCTCTGTCTTTGGCTAACAGGCTCCTTCAGCGAAATACAACTCTGCTTGGCACCATCAACAAAATTCGTCGGGAGCTACCAGCAACTGCAAAGGAAACCTCGGGGCGCCAGTTGCACTCCACGCAGGTCTTCAAATCTGGAAGTGCCTTGCTGACGTTGTATGCGACAAAAAAAAAGAAATCTGTCTGTCTTCTGAGTACCATGCATCACAGAGTGGAAATTGTGGACATTCAAAAACAAAAACCAAACACTGTGGTTGATTACAACCATCTCAAATGGGGTGTTGATATTATGGACCAGAAACTGTGCAACTACTCTGTGCGTGCAGGAACACGGAGGTGGCCTATGGCTGTGTTTTATAACCTGCTTGACATGGCCGCCACAAATGCACATGTTTTGTACACAGCGTGTACAGGATCCAAAGAAAGTCGTCGACTGCTCATGCTGGAGCTTTCAGAGGAACTCAAAAACAGGCTCCAGCAGGAAAAGACACAAGAGGAAGAGCAAAAACAGCTACGTCGTGAGATGAGAGTTTCCCAGCAGAAAAAGACTCAATGCCAGGTGCGCATACTCTGCAATAACAACAGATGTACTGAACATTGCGTCCACTGCGGCAAATTTACCTGTGGCAAATGTAGGAAAGGCTCACCATGGGAATGTGGAAACTGCTAGATGGGACAATTGCATTTTACATTTTTCCACATTATATTTAGTGCTTTATCCATATGTAGACTGTTTTTCTTTATCTGAAATAAAAAAAAACTTTCTGAGGCTATACCTTCTGTCTGTTGTTTTTCAAAATTGAGCTGTTTGGGGTGGGAATTGGGCTCCAGTCCCCCCAACTGATCTGTACAATGAAAACATCTCCATCAGCTGACAAGACTATTTATACAACAATGACCATCTGCCCTATTTACTAAAGGGCAAACAAGCAAACATCATCCGCTCATGAACAAACCTGTTTCCAGCTCAAATTCCAATCTGGCGGCAGGGGGAAATGTAAAGGTTGTGGGTGGGAAGTCTAGCTCCCAGAATAAATAGGCCCAGCAGATCGACTCAGAGTTATTGAGATTTCAAGCTTGGCTTGGCTTGGCATACAACCTTGGCTGCAACAGACGAGCATGTGTTGTACAAGCCGTGCACAGGGACCAAAGAGAGTCCACCAAAGTTAATTCTGCTACTTGCAAATTAACTTCATAACATTTGTATGCAAGAAAAGGCAATAAAGGAAGAACACATGAGACAGCATTGTGAGATGAAGAGACTAGGGCTGTTCCTTTTGTGACATAAATGTTACTCCAATACTAAAGGCATTCTGTTTGTCATTCTCTAAGGCCCCGTCCACACGAAGACGAACCCTGGCCTAAACGCACAAATTTTTCACCAAACCAGCCTCTCATCCACACGAAGCCGGCGTTTCAGGGGTCTGTAAACGATAATTTTTTTATTCACCCTTCAGAGTGGGAAGATTCTGAAACGCCGTTTTCGCGTTTCCATGTTTACACCCTAACCGCATTTTTTTTTTTTACACGCATGCGTCATAGCGTCGCCTCTAAACACGCAAGCGCGACACATCACAACAACAATGGCGCCGTTGCTGCTAATGCTACTCACCCTGCTGTCGGGCTGGTCGGGCTTACAACAGAATCTTCTTCTTCTGGAATATCTCCAGGAAGAACAGAGCAATATCGACCACATAGTTCAGCACCTGAATTTGACTTAACCACGAAAATAGACCCGCAGGGCAACCATGTATAAATATTAGTGCGCATGCCCTACATTTCGTCGCTTATTTTTGCTTTGGCACCACAGCGCCACTTACAGGCCTGGCATACATTTTGCAGCGTTTTCATGCATTCGTGTGGACGCTCACTTTTATTTTACGTCTCCGTCTTTACGGCAAACGTTTTGGAAAATATCAGCGTTTCGTGTTCGTTTTGACTTCGTGTGGACGGGGCCTCAGATTAAATTTTGAATGACATAAAAAGGCGAGACAAGACAAAATACAATTATTCTTTCTTTCATATAGTGAGCTTTGCAATATAAATGAGTCTGTTGGTGAATGGACAATAGAAATAGGCTCTGCCTTGCCTTGTTGGAAAAGCATGGTTATGACTTGTTCTCAGCTCAGGAACTAGGACCTCTATGATATCTGGTTGTTCAATAGGTTTGCCTAAATAAAAGATTTAGATATGACATATAAATATATTCCTGCAAAAAGGTATGATGTTGCAGGGGCAGGTACTGAAAAGTGCTTGGAACATGGTCTTGATGCCAGTTTGTTTCAGCCTTTATCCAGTCTTAATGTAGAAGGGCTGGTCATATCACAGGTTATTTGCATTACAATAGGGACAGTTAGCAAGGCAGAGTGAATACACAAACTTGCAGAGGGGAGGGGGGGCTTGCAGGAAAACTGAAAATCTCTGGGACATCTAGTGTTAACCAGTTTGAGTTAAGAGTAGTAAAGAACTTGCTCCCACGAAAAGAACCGGTGAGAAGGCCCCCGGGGCGCTACAGCCTTCCTTCCAAGGGGACAAATCCTTCTAATTTTTGACAAATGTGATGAGTGGGCTTCTCAGTGGGTGTGTCACTGAGTGGGAAAAACCGGTTAGAAACGTGAACGGGTTGGTGGTGACCAGTGCGCAGAGATCCACGACTACGCTTTCTGCGTACAGTTACCCAATCGCCTGGCTGCTCAGGCACTGCTGGAGGACAGCTACGTGGGGGGGGCTACTTTAACTCCTGGATGTTCAACAGCCTGAAGCCTGGATTCTAACTCTGACACCCTCGCCTCCAAAGCTACAAAAATACTACACTTATTACACATCCCATTATCACTAAAGGAGGCAGAGGAATAACTGAACATCTGACACAGAGAGCAGGAGAGAGGAGAGGAAGAAGGAAGAGTTGGAAAAGAGTCAAGGGAGGGAGAGAGAGAAGCCATAGCGATGCTAAGCTAGCGCTAGCCTAAGCTAGCTACTCCTTACTATCAGAAATAAAACCGTGTGAAACTGACAAGTGCTCAGTAGAAAAGTGCAGCAGAAGGTGCTATGTTTTAAAATGGTTAGAGTTAGAGTTACTTAGATACAGAGATATCACAGAAAAAGTAACTTCATTCAGATGGAGATCATCTGGACAGTATCAACACTCCGTTAATCCAAACAGGAAGTGAAAAGGCCCAAATATGATTGATGAATACTGTGGGGCAGATCAAAACGATCGGGACATCCATCTACAGCACCTGAATTAATCTCGGTTAATTGGAACAGAAGCGTATTCGTGACATCACCACATTTAAAGCTAGTCTGGAACTGCATTTCACCTCCTTCTATTTAAAGTCTAGACAATAATAAATTATTACTGTTTCATTTAGTGAAGAAATAAATATTGACACAGTCAGATATCACAAAGGCTTTTTTGATATATAGAATGGTTTTTAATATAGAATATAGAGAAAATAATTATGACAATTCCGTATAGATCTGTAGGTGGCTGTAAAAAAAAAAAAAAAGCTGTTTTGATTTCACTTTAAAAGGAATTATTTATCATAAGTTCTCCTACATTGGCTGCAGAGCGAGCCCCAGCCAGCCACCCCTCTCCCTCATTCTGGTGCCCAATGGAAAACTCTGATGGGTTACAGAACCCCAGAGGGAGGCATGGGTTTGTTTTGTCTCAGTCCAAGTGAAGTTGCCATTCAGATTTGCTAACCAGTTGTATTTCTTTTGTATGAATGCACCATTAGAAGTTGGCAGTCCAGGTCCAGAAAGTGAAAAGCCTGTATCGAGATTAGTTTAAACCATTTTCATGTACAGCTCCATAGGAAGGAATAACCTGGTGTAAACAGGGTTTTACATTCTGGATCTTGATTGTCCATCGGCTTCAACAAGCAAATCAAATGAGCGCTATCAATTCAGAGTTTACGTCACTCTAAGATTGTGCATTAAATGCAAACAACTGACATTCCTTTGGAAATACAACTGACTTCTGATTCACAGTGTGAGCTGAGCTGCATTTTGGTTCTGGATCTGTTCTGAAACATTCGCTGTATAATAGGCTGTCATCGCATTGAAGACTTGAGGTGAAATATTAGAACTGTTGGCTAAACAGAAGCCCAGTAAAAAAAACAAAAAAAGAGCAACATTTGAGGCAAAGGCAGCATTCATGGTTGGCAACATTTTTTTGTTGTTTTATTTTCCAAATGTGGTGGGAAACAAATTACAATGTGAGGGAAAAAAATGGCACTGAGATGATCATCGATGTTAATTTCAGGGTTAGTCAGAGATGACCTCCACATAGTTGGCAGGGAACAAGCCATAATGTCCATCAGGTCCATAACCTCTCCACCAGCCTTCATCCAGCATTTCAATATCTGTTATGATGTCATCAGGGTCAAAGGTGATCTCAGTGTCATCAGCTGTGGAGGACAGGTAATCCAGGTGACACAAATGGAAAGCTTAGTTCAAAATGCTGCTCTAAACTTTTTAATTCAGCACATGACCCAATAATAAGTGACGCTTCGTATGATGATAGATTGTTACTGTGGTAGAGCTGGGAATATGTCAGATGTGGTTAGAGGTGTCAAAAGTATTTATGTTTATTACTCAGGTAGAAACATAAATCCTACAGTTAGAGTATTAACTTAACCTTTTTACTCCAGTAAAAGTGTAAAAGTGCTTTTTTTTAACTACTTAGAGTATAAAAGTAAAAGTAATACATTAGCAGATGTTTTACTGCACTACCCTCTTTAAGGAACATTTTTCCACAATTCTGGATGATTATTTCCTTAGACTTTATTTTCTTGTTTTATAACTAATGGTAAAGGTGTCATATTTAACTTTGCATCATCTTGAAAAACTATTTATTTTGCTATTTGGTGGACAACAAGTTGGGGCAGCACCGCGTCCAACCACAAAGTGACATGGTTTTAGGGTTGTCAAAAGTATTGATACTCAGAAAAAGTATCGATACTGAAAAGTTGTATCCGGATACAAAACTCATTTTCAAAAGTATCGATACAGTTCTAGCACGAGTGGCACCTAACCCCTTGCTCACACTGGCTCCGGTGCAGTTACCGAGCCGACGGAGACCGCACACCCCCTCTCACACCGCCCTTTTGACTACGGTGCGGTGCGGCTCTGCGGCTCCGGCAACAGGTCTGGAGATTTAACAGAAGTTCACTTGAGTTCACGTAACTTCCCGCGATAACACGGCCCAAATAAAGGATTTTTGCGAGAGCTTGTTGCGGAGGGCTCCGGCACGCCGCAAGGATAGCTTTCTTGCGGAATTTTCTGCAGCGCCGGAGTGTCTCGGTAACCGCAGCCGGACAGCTCAGCCGCCAGTGAGAGAGGTTTACGTCTTTTTAATGACTTGGAATCACTGCGGCGCCGCACCCACCGCACCGCAACGGTAAGACCGGAGTCGGTGTGAGCCTGGGGTAAACAGTCATTCATCTTATGCGCAGAATAGAGGAAAATGCACTTTCTGAACACTGTGTGATTGAATAATTTTTTACACTTTTCGGTTTCAGACATTTTTCTGTAACAGGTGCAGCTGCTGAGAATGATTTTTGTTTCTTATACGGTTTGCTTAGTGTCATTGTTATGTGTGTAAAGCATAGCCAAGGAAGGAACACTTAATTTTAATTTTGTAAGTTTTTTTTATCAAGCTTGCTTAATATTGTGCACAGCATACAACCTCAAAATATTGTTTATTGTATTTATTTATCTATTTATTGTATTTTGTTTATTAATGAAAAAATTTCTGTTGAGTTTTGGAGTCTTTGTTTTTATCCTTGTGGCATCGAAAATGACATAGAGTGTCGAATATTTTACTTAGTATCGGTATCGAGTTGAAAAGTTTAGTATCGTGACAAACCTACATGGTTTTGGTTCTGTTTAAGTTTTATCTTTGAGTTTTCATTGGTTTTATTTCCGTTTTGTGTTATTCTAGTTATTTTGTATTGTATTTGAGTTCTTAGGTATTTCTTGTTTGCCCTCTGTTGCCACCTTGTGTCAGTCTCCTTTTCCCTAGCTCCCTTCTAGACTCCTCTAACACCTGCTCCCAATCTAATGATTAGTCTTTGGTTCTCTCCCCTTGCTCACACTGGCTCCGGTGCGGTTACCGAGCCGACGGAGACCGCAACTCCCGCACACCCCCTCTCACACCGCCCTTTTGACTACGGTGCGGTGCGGCTCTGCGGCTCCGGCAACAGGTCCGGAGATTTAACTCGCGAGAACAGAAGTTCACTTGAGTTCACGTAACTTCACGCGATAACACGGCCCAAATAAGGATATTTGCAAGAGCTTGTTGCGGAGGACTCCGGCACGCCGCAAGGATAGCTTTCTTGCTGAATTTTCTGCAGCGCCGGAGTGTCTCAGTAACCACAGCCGGACAGCTCAGCAGCCGGTGAGAGAGGTTTACGTCTTTTTAATGACTTGGAATCACTGCGGCGCCGCACCCACTGCACCGCAACGGTAAGACCGGAGTCGGTGTGAGCCTGGGGTTTATATATGCACCTATATGAAGGATGAACCAGATCTCATTATTTCTATCATTCTTTCCCTGATATTTTAGTTGATTTCTTAAGATTTTTTTCATCAATGTCACACAAGTCTCGATGCCTTAAAGCTATCATACGCTGTTCGATTTTTGCCCTTTTCAGGCCGATTCTTCGTCGTGTGAGAATGTTTTCGATCGGGCCGACGTTCAGCCTGATCATGCGTAGTGCGTCATGCAGTATACAGGGGGGTAACGAGGGAGGATCAGCCTCACGACCACCTCCCAATCAGGAATCATAAGATCGGGAGAAAATCAAACATGTTTGAAATTCAGTCGGCCATCGTAAGCTGCTCAGTGAGCAAAGAAGGATTCTTCGTTCAGCATGGTGGGGGTGCAATGAGTGAAATGGAGTTTTTTCTGTAAAATTGACTGTAGTAGCCATGTTTGCTCAGCCATGTATTTGTCCAAATACATCTTCGCCTTTTCTTTTCAGCACTAAATTGCACAAATTGCCAAGGCAGCGCATTTCACTCCAGTGAGCTTCATATTCCTCTTCTACTCATTTGGGTCCGAAAAGATGAGTCAGAGTAGCGCCATCTCTCTGTGGAGCTGAGTCCGGCGTGGTTTTTAGATGTGCAGTGTAAGCAGGTAGATCGCATCGAAGCATCGGGCCACACAGTGTGAGAACATACATCGTGAGCCCTGCGGTTTCATTGTACAGTTTGAGCTGTTGATGCATGCAACGATTCAAAAAATCCTACAGTGTATGCCCGGCTAAAGATCAAGACTTTCACTTCCAATAAATTCATAGGGAAGGGGCTGTTCCAACATTTGCATTTCTCAATTCTCCCTTAATGAGCAGGACTTTACACGAGTGAATAAAGGGAATGTGATTGGTCGGTTATCAAGTGGGCGGGATTGTTGTGGTGGAAGGTTCACAAGCAAGTTTGGTTGTGGCCGGTGTCTTGGAAGCATCTTGCTAACCAGTTAGCAACTTAGTGCTAGCAGGTTCCCATTGGGAAATTCCATTGGGACCAAGTAGCACTAAATTGGTGACTTAGAAACGACGCTGTCAAGGAACACTATGGACAGAGGAAACATGCAAGAGGAGGAGAGTTTAGTGTCGGAGGTCGTGGATGAGTCTCCTCCGTCATAAATTTTTTATTTAGAGGAGGAAAATTGGGACGAAAATACTGTGGAAGAGCACGCCATGACCCCTGAGAAGACTCCCCTTTTAATGGGAAAGGAAATTATTCTTATTTCAACCATTGCATATTTTAGCTGCGACATATGAATTAAGATGCTATGACCAAAAAAATTGGATTGACAGATCACCGTTGATATATGATTGGCTGAATTTAGGTGTTCAGGCTGACGTATAACTAACTAACCTGCATGAAATACTGAAAAAAAAATCACACATTTTAAGATTTTGATAGAAATTTTCTAACTTTTAGGACAATGTCGTCTGATAAAGAGTTAATTTATATACATGTTTAAGCCAGAATGATTTCAATTTAAATATGACTTCCCTACGACTTGTTTCAGATATAGTGAACCTGGTTAATAATGTATTTCTGACTTTAAAGAAAGTAGACATATAGTAGATATATTTCTAAAAACTTCTCTTCCTTATTGTTCAAGCATTATTTAAGTAGAAATAGTTTTACTGAAATTAAACAATAATGTATTCCAGTTTAAAGCCAGATTGTTGGATCTTTTTCTGCACATTGTTAGCATTTAGTTTCAGACTAAAATACATTCTGCAGGAGCTACAAGCTTTTTACCAGAACAAGCACAGAAACCAGCAGTGTGTGTTTACATACCAGCCTGATAGTCGTAGAGAGCTCGAGCCCTGCACCCCTTGCCATTGTTAGCAGCCTCCTCAGCCTAGTTTAAAAACACAAAAAATATTTCAATAAAAGGGCTAGAGAACATTGATCTGTTTTCAAAACTTTTCCCAGATGAGTTTGGCTGCACCTCAGTTGTATCCTGGTCAAAATCTTCATACAGATTCTCAGCAGACTGTACTGGATCTGGTGCCTGGTACAGATCGTAATGAACTGGACTTCCCACTGTGGGAGAATGACATAATTGGAAAAAAAAAAAGTGGGATTAAATAGAAGATATTTCCAAAAGTTCAGTATAAAAGTCCTCTATGGAAAACTGCCCAGACCCAAGTTTCTGGTTGGTTTAGATCCATACTTTATCATGCCTTTAAAGGAATTTATATTGTTTGACTTTTCCAAAACAACAACAAACAACATAGTTTTTTTTTTTTAGATTGGAGAGAGAGTTTCTCTGGATATTGACAGTTAAAGTCTACAGTCTCCATAGGAGTTTGTATTTGTCAGTCTAGCATGATTTGGTCTCAGCTATACCTTTCTATTGTAATGCACTTTCAATCTGCAGGTTTACTAGTGATATCAAGAATTTCAGGGCTTTTTTATCTTCTAGACTTTAATACTGATTTAGAGCTCAACTGTTTAGCTATGTTTTTCACCTGAGGAGCTATTACTGCAACTAACTTTTTACTTTTCTCTTAAAGGGGTGATAGAATGATTCTAAAGGGTATTTGGTTCTGGTCCCTAAGGTCTCTGAATAGGGTGTGTAACATTGGTTAGGCTGAAAATGGCATATTAGCTGTTCTCTGAGCCCTAATGCAGCCTGGTTAAAAGCCCCAGAATGAAACGACAGGTTTTCTTCCTTTATGGAATGCTCATGAATATTTAGATATTTGTTGTCAGAAAAATGTTGATTTCTCTTCTATTATATATTCATTTATCCTATTTGCTCACTATAAAAGTTTTAACTCTGTTTCACTCTCAAGGTCACACATTTCTCTGCAGGATGGTGTTTGTAGACCAGACATAGCTTCTTCCCATAACAAATCAGATTCTTTCTCAATGTTTAAACATATTACTGTTTAACCAAAGTGTGTGTAATTTGTTTTAACTCTGACTACTTTTCTGTTCTCTCTTTGCAAAGATATATATAAATGTGCCGACTGAGTGAAATCCATCGATCTCCGTTTATTTAACTAGGGTATATAGTTGAATACTTTTTTCCCACGACAAGCTGTGCGCTCATTGGTTGGTTTACAACGAGTGAAGCTGCTGAGCAAAGGCGCAACATAGCAACAAGCACTCACTCACTGAAACATCTAATTGTTCATATGGTAGAGTGACCAGACATCCTCTTTTTCCCGGACATGTCCTACTTTTCATACCTATAAAAATGTCCAGAGGGAATTTCAAAATTGTCCAGGATTTTGGTCGACTACAGCGCAGCAGAACCGAGCTGTGAGCTCCAGGGTTGGGGACCGAGGGGCCGACGGCCCTGTTCTTCCCCCCACCTAAGGCAGGCCTGGGGAAGCATACCTTCACCGGCTCGGGTTTGATTGCTCCGTCCCTGGTTGCCGGGGTTCCCGGACCAGCCCCGGAGCTCACGGCTCAGCTCCAATGCCCGGTGCGGTCCACTCAGCAGGGGCTGAGTAAAAGAGGTTTAGCAAATCCTGCTTTGAAGTGTCCAAGATTTTGAAAGCTGTCTTTGGTAAAATGCTTAGAGCAAATGAACAGCTGAGCATCAAACTTTGAAGGGATCTTCTGATAGATACAAATAATCCATACCTGTCGAGTCTTCGGTTCCCTGGGAAGACTGTGAAAATTGTCCGCTTTCTCTGTGCAGCTTGGAACACTGCATTTACTGTATGTCATTTTTTGGTCATGACAAAAGTACAGGTCAGAACCAAATAAGGCAACATCCCCGAGTTAATATCAACTTGGGGCTTCGTTTGGATTCTGCCTGTTTTATGGTGGAAGTTTGGAATTGTGAGATTTGCAGATAAAGGAGGTGTTGATGGGGTTTGAACTTCTCTGTACGTCCATTTCACCCACTGAACTATCATTATTCATCTATGGCAATGGAAACTCGGTTATGCATTCTATCACCCCTTTAGTACTAACAGTTCATATCACTGCTTCTAGCTTCTTTAGTTTTCATTTCAATTTCAATCATGGCAGAAGGCTGTTCACAACAGTCTGGTTCTGTTTCTGTGGGAGGTTGCCGTTCTTAAAAGGAAGTTTCTTTCTCCTCTGTTTTAAGTGATTGCTGAAAAGTCAACAACCAAATGCAAATGATTGTTTTTTAGCCTTCCATATTCCTCCAGGAGGAGAGAATTCTGCAAGTCAGTGACTCAGTCTAATCTACAGGGTCTCCTTAGATGAAACACGTATTTGTCTGTATTACTTAATTGAACCAGCTCTGTAAAGTGACTCAGACACTGTTTTTACTATTACCTGGAGTATGTTCATCTGCGTCATCATCAAACTCATCTGACCATTCAGCTTCCTCTGTATTCAATGAGACAAAGAAAAGCAGACATGGTGTTTAATTAGCAAATCAACACATTTCCAACTTCTGTGGCCCAGCTCTCCTCCTTCACAGAATTAAGAGCCAAAATCTGCTAGATTTAAAGCTACAGTGTGTAACTTTTAGTGACATCTAGCGGTCAGACTGCAGACTGCCGCAACATGAACATCTCCAACCCCACCGCTTCTCCCCCCCAACAGTACAGCGAGCGTTACGGGACAAAATGTCTTCCACGACGTCCGCATCACCTACCTTCTCAAGTGATGAGGTTTGTTTACATAGATAATTTTACAGATAGTATTTCCTTAGTCTGTGTAGGGTATAGATTTCATGTAGACTTAAGATAATAAATATACCCGTTATTTTTTCTACATCGTTGTAACATTTTGGCGATCTCGCAATCACTAGTTTGTTGGCTCTGCGCTGCCGTAGCGCAAAGATGTCTGCCTCCATGGCTGCGAGACCCGCTCCTATGTAATTATAAATAACGAATTCTAAGGCAACGCAAATATTAAGGTTAAGATGCTGAGCTCGTAGATGATGATAAATTACATAGTTATGTATAATATATTACATTTCTGACTGTATATCCCTGTAATTATTACACACTGTAGCTTTAAAAGAATTGTCCTTTTATTCTGTTCCCCTGCAGTGTTCCACTTTGAACCCATTTGATCAGGTAAATGTTGTATGTGAGCTAGGCTCGAAAAATTGCTTAGTCCTTGCAAATGGAAAATAAAAAGAAACAAAGGTTTTCAAATGAATGTTAACACAGACGTTAAATCTGTAGCATTTTAAGGAAAGTTGTAAAATTTATTCCTCCAAGATGTGAACCTTGTTCCAAATGATCCATTCTAGTGCAAAGTGACCTTTTCAATAACTGTCGGATGAGGGATGGATGGATGGATGGATGGATGGATGGATGGATGGATGGATGGAT